TGAGTCTAATAATATAAAAATTATTTAATTCTAATTACTAAATCATAAGAAATACTTATTTAAAGATCAAATTTTAAGACTGCTCACTGCTTTGTTTTGCTATAGAGTTTCTATATATAAATAACCCAAATAATCTAATGACTCAAATAACCTGGTCATTATTTGATAACTTGAGATTATTTAAATTTTGATCAAATGACTAGGTCATTTACTATCTTTGTACTCTAGTAGGTTTAGATCATAAATAAGGTAGTTTGACTTTTATTTTTGTATGAGTTTTTACTTTTTATATTTTATATATTAAGGTTAGCAACTCTTTGTAGTTACTATGATAAAAACTATTAATAAATATATAAGCAAGGTCTTACCTTAATACTAAAAAAAATATATATATATACTGTATATATAATCTTAAAATATCTAACTATATTTTACTAAATAATAATTAGTTTTATAGTAGAAAGTATAATAACAATGAATTTCAAATATATATATTTGAAATTATAATTGATATAAAGAATATTTTTATAAAAACAACATTGTATATTAAAGATCTCAACAGATTTGAAGTATTAAAAACTAAAAAAGTCAAAAGTTATAATATTAGTTAATAAAAAAAATATTTATAATTTTTACAAAATACTTTCTAGAAAATTAAAAAATTTATTATATGTATATAAATAATATATTTATATTAATAAATAGATTGTGATTATATATTAACCTACTTATTCTTTTAAATTAAAATTAATTATTCTGCTTTTATATATAATAATATATCCAAAAATTAAATAAGTTGCGGTTAGAGTAATTCTATCAAAAAATAAATATAAGTAAGATGCAAGATCAATTAAAGATTTTGGAATTGATAGCTCTACATAATAAGATAACTAAAAATATAAAAGGTATCAAAGAGAATATAGTATTACTTAGATATATAAGTATTATTTTTTAAAATAAGAGGTTTTAGAAAAAATAATCAATATATTTGTATATCAGATATATAATTATATTTTATGCATAAAATTAGATAAATTAAATATATGATTTTCAAATATAACAATTTTTGCATATAATTCATTTTGCTTTTTTCTGCAATAATTCTTTTTATTTTTATATTTACAGTATTTATATATTTATCGTATATATTATATTTAAATCTATTTAGTTTTACAAGAAGTATATACTAAAGATTTATAATGAATATAATATCTTTTTAATTTACTACCTTATCTACAATTTTTTCTAATTCTATTAATTATCTGGAATAAAGTAACAGACTATTTATTTCTATATATTGTAATACAAAAATTACTTTTATGATATATTATATTGTAATATAGTTATTAGCTCAACGAAGTACAATACAATGATCACATGACCACGATCACATGATCACATGACCACGATCATGTAATGCCAATGGCCCTTTTACCCAAACAACTTATATATTTATTTATTTATTTTATCATTATATTATTATCATTATGCATAGATTGTTATGCATAGCAATGTTAGGATAGTAATTATCAAACGGGTTTGTAACTAGAGAGGGTTGTAATAAGTTTTGAAACTAGTTTAGAGAGTAGATAGTTAAGTATTGATAAAACATTTTCTTATAAAAATATTCTATAAAAGACTTGCAAAAAGGTATCGTCCACTGTCTTAAGTCCTAATGATCTAAATAAAAGCCTTTTTGTCTTAAATTTCTCCCAATAAAAACCTAAACCCACTCTATAACCAAATATTTCGGTTATATTTGGTGATGATGACAGGACTGGGTTGCCTAAGAAAATAAAAATTAAAAATGTTTTATGAATTACTTGTAATTACATATCTTCCCTAACTCAATAGACAGTGAGCTAAATATACAAACCCGCTCAGAAATCTTTTTTTCACCACCTAACTTCAGCACCCCTGTATCATCTGCTTTTAATATAGCCACCAGCCCACAAGCTAAAACCTCTACTGCCACTGCATGAAGATCTGATAGGTATAGTGACCAAGACGTACGACCAGAGTCCCGAAATAGAAGGTTTAGTTTCGATGACCTTATAGACTTTGGAGTCTAATGTGGATACATCGATCAAACTTACCCAAATCAAGAAACAGCTACCTTGTATCTATACGAAGCCCACCCTGATGATGAAGAAGACGAGGAAGAATGCATCATTGTCCAAAATCTTGATACTAAGCCGGTCTTACCTCTGCATAATATCGTGGTAGATAATCGATATGGATGAGACAAAGATCAAGATGACTACGAAGACCGGTACTTACATTGTAGAGCTGAGAGAATCTATACGCATGGCTATGAAAGACCTCAAGTCATCCAAAACCCGATTGTTAACCTATTGAAGCTAGGAACTCAGCCAGAAGACAACTACTTTGTACAAAATCCACATATTCACTTTGAGGTGCAAAGTTCTCCACCACAGAGACGCCCTTCTATCCCAACCTGAACACCACTACCCTGAGGTTGATACCTTAACAATCCAAGATGACCCCTACTTCAAAACCAACATCTGCAAAATCAATCACAAGCTGGGTTACCACAACTCCAACCTTAGCCACAACCTGCCTCCAAAGCTGTTGTAGCAAATCCGATGGATCAATTACTGCAAAGTATAAATAATCTCATACTGGCCATAGGAAATAATACAAATCAGCTCTGAGAAGCCAAGGTGATCAAGTTTCCAACCTTTAGTGGCAGTGATCAAGACCCTCTCGTATGGTTGGACGAGTTCGATAAGGCTTGTATCATCAATCATGTGACCGAACAGAGAAGATTTGATATTTTATCTTTGCACCTAAAAGGGTTAGCATATACTTGATAGAGGAATAATACACATACGGTACGAGCATGGCAGGATCAATTATGACTATGAAACTCTTTTGTTCATTTATTCAAACATCAATTCTGTACTATCTATCAACAAAACTGTTGGGTTGCAGAACTTAGGACATGATGGCAAGGGTTAGGAAAAACAGTAAATGAATATTATGATGAAGTGGAAAGGTTATACTAAAAGGTTGATCCAATGAACCGATATCCACATATCGATCGTATTCGTCAGTTTATAGACAGATTGAGGCAAGAACTCAGGGAACCTGTGGAAATGGAATGCCCCACAACACTTGGACAAGCTTTAAAAAAGGCTAAAGCAGCTAAGGCTACATATTCCAGAGGTGGATCTTTGAGTTCATATTTGTTAAAATGGAGTTATTTAAGTAAAAATGACCCTGCAAATAGAGAAATAGGCGAATTAAAAAAAGCCATATCCGAAATAGCACAAAACATGAAAACACTAATTCAAAATCAAAGTAAAAGTCAAAATTCAGTTAATAGTCCTTTGAATAACCAATCCTAGACCGATCCTGGCTGGCCATGCTCATCTTGACCTAGCCCTAATCAATTGCGTTCCTTTAATCCTAATATTGAGTATTATCAATGTAGAGACGTGGTTATATCACAGTACAATATTTAATTTGCACCATGAGACCTAATAATAATATTAATAGAAATTCTAGACAAAATCAAATAGGCCAAGCAAATAACAACCAAAAGAGGTTTAATCCAACACGATCTAATAATAACAGATCTGTTAATGATAATACGAACAATTCAATTAATACTGGTAACAATAATAACAATCAGAGAGAAAATAACCAAAATCGAACTTATCTGTTTATTTTGGCAGAAGAACTTGCTAATGCGATCGGTATCACTATCAGGGAATATTTAAACTAACATGGGCCACTTCTTGTGAGGGTGAGAATGCCGAAGATAGAAATTTTATAGACCCCTTGAATAATAGCTCTAGCTTATTAGACCAGCCAGTATCTAGTAATTTGTCAGTACCTTTAGTTTTGAATAGCAAAAATGAAATGCAGAATATATACCAACAACCTATAGAAGTAACTTATTGTGAAGCTGCTATAGATCAGCATCCCATTTATTTAATATTGGATACAAGTTCTAGTAAAAGTTTAGTATCACATAAGTTTTTAAAACGAATCAGAAGGGAAATCAACAAACCGTCAATAAGGAACTTAGTAGATATATATGGACAAAGAAAGTATCTATTAGGTATAGTAAAAAACCTACCTGTTGAAGTAAAAGGAATAAAAATTCTGATTGATGTGGAAGTAACGAAAGCAAGAGATTATACTGTGATAGTAGGAATGGATTGGTTAGCTAAAGTAAAGGGAAAGATAAATTTAGAACATGGGATTTTTGAATTCGAATAGAACATATCAATCAAAATATTGATTTAGGGCCTAAAATCTACACCCCAAATTATAATTGATAATAATTGACATTGCATATTAGTACTTCATTTTTAATATTCAAAATTAAAATTTCATATTAAATTTTAATGTCAAACCAATGAACCCACCTAGGTAACCAATGAACTGAATTGCAGACAAGTAAGTAAGAACAATAAAGGTTATAACAAGAGTTTTAATATTTACATATATATATAATATTAACAGTATTTTTTTTATAAATAACAAGTTTTACTCAATGCCTCAATCAGCGTCTAATAAACCATTTGAGTGTATTATTTGTAAAAAAAAATGTTACAAATCCTCAGCAGGACTCTCAAGACATGAAAATTTTAAACATAATGATTATAACACACCTCCTATTCAACATTATGTTTTGCCAGAAAATGCTATAAACGAATGAAAGAAAATGTTAGTGTATGCTATTCATAAACGGCTTCCCCTTGCCTTTCAAAAAACTGGAAAGCAAGTAATTAAATTTCTATGTATGGAAGGTCAATATTTAGGACTTTTTAAGCAGCATTTAACTCGGGTGTTTGTTAACAGAAAAGCATACAGGTGTGTTTTTTCAGGACCTAACGCATATCAAAATATTAGTTCAATATTAGATGATCAATGTTGGGGTATACGACACTATAAATGTAACCAGGTTTCTTATGTTGTATTGTTTATTCAAACAACTATTGAGAGTTCAGTTCCAGCTTTGGATGCTATAATTGCAAAAAAAGCAGCTAAAAAAAAAAAAGAAAAACAAGGTAATATTGATAAAAGTGAGTCTTCTTCCGCTATAACCTTGGAAAAAGATAAAGTAATACAGTCAGAATTTATAGTAGACTGGGTTCAAGAAATAATTAAAGATTTTAGTGGGCATCAGGCTATCTC